CGCGAGGCCTACAACGACAGCTCCGACGAGGAGAGCAGCAGCCACCACGGCCCCGGCGTGCAGTGTGCCCACCAGTGAGCCACGCGGCGCAGGCGGGTTTCCTCCAGCGGCCCAGCCAGAGGGTCTGTCGATCCGAATGAACTGATGGATATTTCCTGGTCTATGTGTAACTTTAAAGTTGGTATAGTATCTACAGAGTGTATAATTTAACTAACCACAGAGCTCTGCATCTTCGTCTGACTGGTCTGTACAGAGGAGAGCACTCGAGGAGGCAGGACTGACACGCGTTCCCAGGCCCGCCCTGGTCTGTGCGCGGTTTCTATCAGTTCCGTGTAGATTTTTGTTCCATGTTTGCAACTCGAAGCCCACGTTGTAAGTCTGTGTCCAGTGTGTCCTGGAGCTTGTGTTTGGCTGCACCTGCGTCATAAGCTGCTACAACCAGAATAAAGAGTTTCCGAGCCTGCGTCTCGCTTAGGTGCATGGGAGTGGGCTTTGCGCACAGGGCTTGGAGCTGACGGAACAGTGGGAATGACATCCGCGCTGGTGGTCACGTTGTTGGGTTTTTTCTTCTTTTTCTTGTTTTTTATCATCTTGTGAAAGGTTTTGAAACTCGATAATAAAGAGCAGTTGGTGTAAATTATTTTTGTGTCACATTTTTAGGAGGAAAAACACATTTTTTAAAATTGATTTTAGAGAGAGGAAAGGAGAGAGAGAAACATCAATGTGAGAGAGAGGGAGACATTGATTGGTTGCCTTCCATACCGGCCCAGACCGGGGGTGGAACCCACAACCTGGTATGTGCCCTGACCAGGAATGGAAGCCGCCACCCTTCAGTGCATGGAATGATGCTCCGACCGCGGGGCTACCCCGGCCGGGGCAGCAGGAAGAGCATATTTTGAACTGACAAATGGATCCTTAACCTGGAGAATGGATTCTTAGTTCTGGCTCCCAAGCCGCCCTTACACCTGTGGGCCTGGCGCTCATGCTCAGGCACACGCCCATTGGATCGTTTTACACCATGAACGAAAGTTTGACGGTAGAAACAGGCCAAACTGGCTTCCATTGCTGCTTTGTAGACTCCAGGACACCCGAGTTACACGGCTCCTCAGTTACGGCCCTGCGCATTGGGGCGACATAGCCTCTGCACCCCACCACTGCCCCTTTATTTATAAAAGCAAGGAAACCGCAAACCAATATTAGAACCATGTCTGCATAGAGCCTGTTTCCATTAAACGTTAAGTTAAAGATTCTGTCTTCATCAGGCTGCGTGTTTGAGGTGGGGAAGGATTGACTCTCGCTGCTGTTTATGGAAAAGCCAGCCTGGGTTGGTGTGAGAACGGTCGGGCACAACCACTGTGTGAAGGGCGTTGTGTTGCTCTTCCCACCTTCTCTCTCTGACCTTTCCCTTCCCAGGACACACTTGAATTTGAAAGAAGAGACTCCGTGAACACTTTACATTTGTGAGAGAACAGGAGAGAACTGAAAAGGGAGTTTTCATGTGATGCCATCCCTGACCGAAATATAACGCACGTAGTCTCTCCTAGGTCCGCCAGAATCTGAATGGGCAGAAAGGTGTCCTGGCATTTCTCCTGGCTGCGAGGTTTTCGATTGCTGTCCTAGCCACCTACCTCTGTTGTACAAAAACTACAGCCAGCCTGGCGAGGCAGCAGCACGGCAGTTCTGTATCCGAGTTCCTTCCCCACGCACCACCTGACGCGTAAGAAACAGTGGCGATACAGTTTGTCGCCTTCCCAATAAAGGGTTATCAGCAGCGGTTCAGTGTGGCCTTTCTTTCTGTGCAGGTGGTGGTGACCCAACCACACGGGAGCGGGTGGTAGACGGCGTTCGGATCTCTTATTCCCCGCAGTCGTCTTCTGCTCTGCAGAGCGCCTGCCCGGAGAGAGGCCTTTAGCGTCTCCCGTCAGGAGTGATCCCGCATATACCATTCAATAGGCCCTTTCCAAGGGGTGCAGTCCGCGGCTGGGGGCTTAGAACATTCAGAACTTGGCGGCCTTTGCCACTCTCCAGAACATTCCACCTCAGAAAGGAACCCGTTAGCATTGGCGCTCTGGTCCCTTCCTCTGGTGCAGTCGCTCATCTGGTATCTGTTTCTCAGTTTTGGACTATTGGTATAAAATGGGATTCTTTTTTTATTTTTTTAAGTCCTCATCTAAGAGTATGTTTTCCATTCATCTTTAGAGAGAGAGGGAGGCGAGAAAGACAGAAACACTGACGTGATCACCTTCCCCACAGGCCCCAACGGACCGGGGATCGAACCTGTGACCCATCAGTCCACAGGCTGACGCTCTGACCACTGAGCAAACCGGCCGGGGCTCCAATGGGATCTAACTTAGTCCGTGTCCAGGGCTCATTCCTGACGCGCGCAGCAGCGCTGCCTTTCTATTGCCAGGTCACTCCTGGCACCGCTCGCTGGCCAGTGGGCACTGGAGTCTTCCCGTGGGGGATCATGCTATGAACATTCACATACGGAGTTTTGTGTGGACGTCTTTCCAGTTCTGGGCAGATCCCGAGGAGTGAAGTGACTGGTTCCCATGGTAACCTTTTAATCCTTGGCCAAACTTCCAAAAGAGGCTGCCCCATCTTACAATCCTACCAGCAGTGGAGGAGAGAACTCGTTTTCCACAACTGCAGCGTGGACCCGTCTCATGACAGCCTCCGCGGTGGCGGCGAGGGGCTGAGATCTGCATTTGCCTAGTGACGAATGCTATGCATCTTGCCATGCGCTCACCGGCCACGTGTGTCCGTGGGAGCAGCGTCTGTTCACAGCCTCCGCCCATGTCACTCAGGCTGTCTCAGTGTTCAACTTCCTCTGTCTCAGTGTTCACGTGTCACCTCCCGCCCTGCCAGCGCCCCAGGTCACCAGCAAGTATGCGGTAGGAAAGCTTCCAGAGAAGCCACAGGCCAGGAAGTGATGAAGAAAGGGTCCCAGGTCAAGATCAACCCAAGGCCCACACTCCAAGGACGGGCCCCACAACCTGCCAGCAGCCTGGGAAAGCTGCTCCCTTCTCCACGCTTCCAGCACAAGGCCTGGGGGTGGGGGGCGGGGGGTGTTTCAGTGGCCTGGTGTCCGTCAGCGCCATCCTTGAACCCGTCGCCGGGGTCAGGCTCACTGGGCCTGGATCCCACGCCCAACCGTTCTCACCTCAGCGAGGTGGCCTGGGCAGTGCCCGAGTTTCCGTTTCCATGTAGAGCAAGCATGTCAAACTCAAAGGCTAACACGGACCAAATAAACGAGTTTGACATGCTTGAGGTAGAGGAGTTTTGTGTTGGAAGGGATCACGTCTTAGGTGTTTGAGAGACATCCATTGTCAGTGTGGGAGGAGCAGGGAGAGGGTGTTGCCTTTCATCCTGGCCCTGGGGCCTCTGTCCTTTTCCACTGCGCGCGCGCGCTCTCTCTCTCTCTCTCTCTCTCTCTCTCTCTCTATATATATATATATATATAACTAGAAGCCCAGCACGTGAAATTGCGTGGCCCCGCCCACCCATGCCAGTCTTTGGTCGTTACAAAGATTTCAGAGAGTAAGGGAGAGGGAGAGACAGAAACATCAATGATGAGAGAGAACCATTGATCGGCTGCCCCCTGCACCCCCACACTGGGGATCGAGCTCGGAACCCGGGCATGTGCCCTGACCGGGAATTGAACCGTGACCTCCTGGTTCATGGGCCCACCCACCTTCAACCACTGAACCTCGCCGGCTGGGCTCCCTCTCGAACCAGCGGGAATGTTGGGAGCCGCCCTAGAGCCCCCTTCCTGACATACGTGGGCAGCAGCGGGCCGGAGCCACCTCGGGGGTAAGTCAGCTGTTCAGTATCTCCCTTTCCTTCCCTGCAGCCGGGGACGGAGTCGCACAGAGCTCTCACGGCCAGTCACGGCCAGAATAACCACCAGGCTGCGTGCAAAGCGAGAACGTACCAGGAGGAACGGCCTGACCGAGAAAACCTGCTCAGCCAGTAACGCCGACGCAAGTAGGTTCTCGACGGCACCCGTGTGCATGCCCACCCCCACCCACCGCAGTGCAGTCTGGAGTCACATCATTGGCATCGGGCACAGTGTCTAGTCAGCCCACACGCCCGTCTTAGCCAGAGGCGCGGGGGCCAGGCAGTGCTCAGGAGCCGTGTCCGGGTCTCGTCCCAAAGCTGAACCACCACAGTGCAGGCGGGCCCGGCTGCCGAGTTAGAGGGCGTGTGTTTGCTTAATGAAATCCTGCCGAGCCCTGGCCGGGTGGCTCAGTTGGTTAGAGCGTCAAACCGATACACCAAGGTTGCAGGTTCGATCCCCGGTCAGGGCCCAGACAAGAATCAGAGTGCATAAATAAGTGGAACGATAAGTCAATGTTTCTCTCTCCCTTCCTCTCTCTAAAATCAATAAAGAGGAAAAAAATTAAAATAAATGAATAAGTTACTGCTGGCGGGGACCCCATTGGTGCTTAAACCGTTTTTCATCTGGAAACTCCCTTCCTCGTAGGGACAGGGTGGCCGTGCACAAGATCAGCACAGGGATGTCCGCGGAGAGACGGACTGTGATTGTAAGTGGACGTTACCTGAACACCCCATCGCATCTCATCGCATCCATTCGATGCCGGTATGTAGTCGTTACAAAGCAATGTTGTGAAGTGTTTTATGGCATGTTGTTAATTAAACAGAAAATGCATCTGCAGTGCTGCTGTTTTAAGACACATATATCACTTTTATGTGTCATATTAATATGACACATGGGTGTCATATTAATTTTAAGACACATGCCTCCCTGTGCCAAGAGCAGGCACACCGAGTCGAAAATGATGACGTCCTCTGCGTTCAAGGTTCGCGGTTGCTTAAATGTTTTCATTACAAAAATATACACAAAAGGCGAATAGAATGAGGCTCTGTACACCCATTGCCGCGGTATTTGGGGAAAACACTCATTGTGCTGGGAATACGTTGCCGAGCGAGGATGTCCGCTGAGTGTGAAGTCTACACAAGGACAGTGAAGCCCGGGACCGTTTTTGACACAAAGTGTTTTATTTTGAAATTCCCAGCAGAGCTCTCGTCCTCAGTGCCTTGCTCAGGAGACGCCTGTGAGAATCCAGACTGGAACGGGGGCAGACAGGCCTGTCGCCCCTCCCGCAAATCCATACCTGGGGACGCGCAGCCCGGCCCCCAGGCCCCCCACTTGCGGGTCTAAATGGACAGAAAGCCTCACGGGTGTGGATTTACAGTGTGGCCCCAAATGGCCAATGTCTCTCTCTGGTGGCGCCCAAACCAGACACCAGGATGGAAGCTGTAGGAGACGAGATCGTGCGTGACCGTGACCGGCGCTCCCACCCCGCGCCCCTGGCTAGGCCTGCATTCACTGTCGACAGGCAAACCAAGTGTACGTGGCGGCGGCATCGTTAAAAACCATGTAAACATTGCAAAGACGTCAGGGGTTACTCAGAATCCGAAGAGATATATATAAAAAAACTACTGGGCTTGTGAAGACTACAAATACCAGCCCTCCCTCCGCCCATGAAAAAAGCACTTGTTACAAAAATATAAAAAATAGACCCGCCTCTGCTCATCCTGGTTCCGGACCATGCCAGAGCCCCGGCAACGTGGAGCTTTTTGAAGAAGGCCGAGTTCCCAGAGACCCTGTTCCTCGAGGCTGTGGCCGCCTTTTTCTCGGGGGGCTGCAGGGAGTTCGCCCTGGAAACTGGAGCCCCGGAGGCTGCTTTCCAAGCTCAGATTCTCAATCCAGCTGCTTCCTTTTCCCCTTGGGACGTGCTGGGTCCCCAGACGCCTGTGCTGGCCTTTGGGCTCCCTCCCTGCCCCCTGGGGAGGCAGGGTGGGAGGGGGCACGCCTGCTCCCTCTGGAGGGTGGTGGGGCCCCGGCCAGGTGTGCTAAGCCAGGGAGGCTGCGGCAAGCGGGGGTGCCCCACCCCCAGCCTGGGGAGGTGACAGGTGCTGCGGCCCCCTGGCTGTCGGGAGGGCAGCCAGCAGCAGGTGTGGAGGCAAACGCAGCGGGAAGTGAAGCACTTTTATGCACTTCACTTCGACTGCACGGCAGGCGCGTCGGCCAGTTCATGGGCAGGGAGTGGGCCAAACGCAGTTTGCAAGGGCTCAGCGGATGCTGTGGAGACGGGGTGACTGGCCAGTCCTCGAGGAGGCCCCTCGGGCACTAGGACCAGGCCACTGTCTCACTGTTCCTGCTCTCGCCAGCAGAGGGTGCTGTGTGTCAAGGCTCAACCGGGCCCTGGGAGAGCTAACCATTGTTGGGGAAAAGCAGGATGGATCCACTCACCACCAGGCCACTGCCCACACACGACTGGGATAGCGGGATAGCGCTGGGCTGTACCCCTGTCCCAGGTCCCAGCCAACCCGTCACCCCCAAAGCCTCGTGGGTGCACGGAGTCCTTGTTCCCTGGGGGCCTGGTCACCTGGCTCACACCCACTCATCCCCTGCAGGACACAAGGAAAACGGTACCCACCACCACCCGCCCGCATCCCCTCAACCCCTGCACCCCTGCACTGAGACGCACTGTCTGCCTCCGGCCAGAAGGGGGCGCCCCACTGAGCCTGCAGTGGACTCCGGGCCCCCGCTGGGGGCTGGGTTCTGCACCAAGGGTTTTATTTCACAGATCACGTGGCGGTTGGGATGTCCAGTCCTCCCCGGGGTTCAGCCCTGCACTTTCAGCCTCTTGTTCCTCGGAGCAGCCTCTCACCCCGATGAGCCCCGGGAGCAGCGGCGGCGGCAGCAGGTCCAGACGCGCCCCCCACGGGCGGGCCACGTCCCCTCAACTTTGGTTGCATCAAAAAACAAGAAGAGAAACAGGGTTTCTGGGACATCCCCGTTCACATCGGCTCGGGAGAGACGTGCTCCCCACATCAAGGCACAAGAAGGAGGCCTCCTGGGGCAGGATGGCGGTGACAGCGACGGTGGCCTGGGCGGGGCCTGAGGCAGGTCGCTGGGAGGGGTTCAGTGGGGGCCTCAGGCGAACTCCCCGAGGAACTGGATGTGGAAGTCCTTCACCCTCTGCAGCACCGTCTTCAGCTTCTCCACAGGAGGGAGGATGGTCATCCTGGGGAGAGAGCAGCGTCAGCCTGGCCACCGGCCGCCCGCAGGGGCGCGAACCCCGCAGCTCGGGCCCCCCACCTGCCGCCGGGGGCACGAGGAGGAGCGGGCCAGCTGCCCTGTCCACAGCCAGGGCTCCAGCCCCGACAGCAGCTGGCACGGCACCCGGCACTGTCGAACCACTATCTCCGCCCCCACCCCCCCCTCCCAGTGCTTTTATCTTTCAAACTTTTTTTTTATTATTGATTTCATAGAGAAACGTCAATGATGAGAGAGAATCATGGATCAGCTGCCTCCTGCACGCCCCACACCGGGGATGGAGCCCGCAACCCGGGCCTGTGCCCTGACTGGGAATGGAACCGTGACCTCCTGGTTCCTAGGTCAGCCCTCAGTCACTGAGCCGCACCTGCCGCGCTCCTACATTGTTCACCCAAGTGACACATGCAAACAAAAGCCACAGCCAGGGCAGCATTAGGCCCAGCAGCCCGGCCATCGTGGCAGACGGTGTGCGGACACGGACGGCGTGCAGACCTCCCGGAGCGGACTCGCATCTCCCACGGATACAGACACCCACTCCCCCAGAGGGGCCTCTAGGTCTCCACCGCGGTCTGTTCCAGGGAGAACCCCGAGGAACTCCCACCCCCTCCAGCCCTGGCCGCCCAGGTGAGCCTCGCGAGGGGGCGTGGCCAGCCATCGCGTTTGTCCACGGGGCACGCTGCCCACCACCTTGACCGGGTGGAGGCTGGCCCAGGTGCTAACTGAGCTCAGGACGGTTCTTTCTTCAGTGTCTGCGCCAGGGGACAGCTGAGGGCCCTGCGCGGAGCAGGTGCCGTCCTGGACGGGCCCTGGCCTTTGGGGAACCTGGGGCGGGGAGCGGCTCCAGCGCGCTCAGCCCGAGGGCCCATCACGCGGGGCCGCTGGGAACCTTGCGTTCGGATGCGGGACCTCAACAGGCCTGTGGGGCAGCGGACGGCACCGCTGAGCACCGATGCTCGATGGGACTGTCGTGGGGTGAACAGGGACAGGGACTAAGGTCAGCCACCAGCGGGAGCATCCCAGATGGTAGGCGCCGGATGGAGGCAGCGAAGGGGCGGGAGTGACAGCCCAGGAGCGACCCTGGCTCAGGGCACGGGGCTCAGGGGGTTCAGGGGCTCTATGGGGGTGCGGGGGGGGGGGTAGCCCAGGGAGCCGGGCTGCATGTGTGTCAGTCCCTGCAGCCAGGCTCTGCTGGGCGCTCGGGAGCCCGGGTGGTACCTGAAGTGGTAGGTGCCTTCCCGCTGCCCGAAGCCGCTGCCGGGCACCACGCAGACGCCCGTCTCCTCCAGGAGCTTCATGCAGTAGAACATGTCGGGGGCCATGTTGTGGGCCTGAGGGGACAGGGGCCTCGGTTCACCGGCTTGGCACCAACGCCACCGGAAACGCCAGCCAACAATAGGATCGGAGGTTCCTTCCGTGGCCAGGGCCTCCCCACCCCCCTCTAAGGCAGTGATGGCGAACCTATGACACGCGTGTCAGAGGTGACACGCGAACTCATTTTTTTGGTTGATTTTTCTTTGTTAAATGGCATTTAAATATATAAAATAAATATCAAAAATATAAATCTCTGTTTTACTGTGATTGCAAATATCAAAAAATTTCTATATGTGACACGGCACCAGAGTTAACTTAGGGTTTTTCGAAATGCTGACACGCCAAGCTCAGAAGGTTCGCCATCACTGGTCTAAGGCCCGGCCAGACGCTGGGCGCTGCGTGGCTGGCGCAGGGAGCAAGGACCCGGGGGAGGTTTGAGGGCGGAAACACTTGATCCTCCAAGTAGGGCCTGTGGCACCGCCTGAGAACGGTCAGAAGCGGATCTCGGGCCCTCCCGGCTCCCTGAACCCGAGCCGGAATGTGACAAGTGTGCGGAGGGAGGCTCTGGGGCCGACGGCCGGGTCCAGGGGACGAGAGAGGGCCTCCTGCTCCCCCAGCCGCGGTCGCCGCCTCCCACTGGGCCCAGACCAGCACCCCGCCAGCCCGCACAGCAAGCAGGGGTTGGGCCTCGGGGCGTCGCCTTCACCCCAAGGGCCCACGGAGCGCAGAGCCCCAGGCCAGGAGCAGCCCCAGCCCCAGAGCCCCCAGCCCGGCGCCCCACCTGCGCGGCCTCCACGGCTCTGGGGGGCAGGACGATCCGGGGGAAGGCGTACATGGCGCCCTGCAGGGGGTTGCAGCGGATCCCCGGGACTTGGTTGAACAGGTCTTCTGTCAGCTTCGCTTTCTCGGCCAGGTTACTCAGGACGGACTCTTTCTCCTGACGGGACAGAGAGCGGGAGTCGGCACCGACGGCACCGCGTGGCTGCAGCCACCGGAAACGGCCCTTCCTCGCCAGGACCGGGCAGACGTGAGGGTGAGCCTGCGTGCGTGAGCACCGCCAGGTATCCTCACTTGCTATTGAAAGGGTCCAAATGGCCCGGCTGCGTGGCTCAGGGGTTGAGCATCGACCTATGACCCAGGAGGTCAGGGTTCGATTCCCCGTCAGGGCACAGGCCCGGGTTTCGGGCTCCATCCCCAGTGGGGCGTGCAGGAGGCAGCCGATCCATGATTCTCTATCATTGATGTTTCTGTCTCTCTCTCCCTCTCCCTTCCTCTCTGGAATCAATGAAAATATTTATTTTTTTTAAAGGGTCTGAATGGACCACTTTAAGTGCTGAGGATGTCTGCTGAGGCCAGAGGCAGGCCCCTGGCCCAGAATCACTGCTGTCCACCCACTCCCCTGGGAGTTTAGGAACAGAATCCCCGGGGCTCTCAGGACACAGTCCTTCTCTCTGGGTGCCCATCTGTGGGGCCCACGGGGGAGGGAGAGGAAAGAGGTGGCCACCTCCACCCCAACACTCGCCTGCCGCACCCTCAGGCTTCGCCTCCTGTGGGCGCTCCCCACGCTCGGAGGAACCACGCGTGTCCCTCAGAGAACATGCCCTGAGCACCTGGGCCCTGGCGGGGGCGGGGGTGGAGACAGGCCCCGGGACCCGCACTCACCCTGAGGAACTGCTCGAAGGACTCCTCCCCGGGCACCGGCGGGTTCACCATGATGTCCATGGCGGCCTGCCCTGACACGGGCGGGCACAGGCGCACCGACAGCAGCTTCACCAGCTGGCCTTTGATCTCGGGGTGCAGGTTGATCACCTCCATGTAGCCTCCCCGGTAGCCGCACCTGCAGGGAGGGGGGGCAGGAGACGCACTGAGTGCCGTCCACAGGCTGGAAGCTTCCGGGGCCGTCCCTGGAGCTCCTGCCAGGGGAACGCGATGGGAAGTGACATGGGCACACTCATGACTTCTGACGAGGAACAAGCACGCTCTCTCTTGCTGAGGTGGAGGCGCTGGGGCGGCAGCCTCAGAGCCAGAGCTGGACCCACATGCCGGGAGGGCAGGGCTGGCCACCCACCGCCCTTGAGTGACCTTGTGGCGTGCAGCCTGCCCTGGACGCCCCTGCCCTGGGACTGTTATGTCACAGACACACGCTTTCATCTTGGTTGAGCCGCTGTATTTTGGGGCCTCTTTGTTACAGCAGCTGAGCCTGAACCCCCACTAATACACTAGCCTCATTCCAGAGGGGCCCGATTCAGGCCTGGCACCCCCTGCACAGGGGGAAGGTCATCCCCGGGGCATCGGCCTGAGGACGTTTGCTGGGCGTTTTGCTGCCTGAAAACAGAGTCAGCCCACGGAGAGCGGCGCTGAGAGCAAGGGAGGAGGAAGGCAGCACAGCCCCCTGGCGCCTCCTGCCCGGCCAGCTCTCCTCCTGCTCTTGCTGAGGGACCAGGTTCTGTGACTTCGCGCTGAGCGGAGCCAGACGGCACAGGCTCGGGTCCTGTGCGGATACGCTGAGATGTACGAGTTTAAAATAAACCACGGCCTTTCGGAACGAGGCCTGCCCATCAGGGCATCTTCTGGGGCCTGGCCGCCCCACCCCCTCGGGACCGACTGACCAATGCAGACTAGTGACCAGACAAACGCAGGCACCGAGGCAGGAACCGGGCCCCCTTCTCTGCTGCACCTGCACCCTCCACCTCAGAGCCCGGCGTGACGACACCCCGTCCAACGCTCTCAGAGTCCCTGGTGAAGACGCTTCCTGTCTGACCCCGGGACTGGACTCCCCACGTCCCAGCAAGGTTTCCTTCCATCTGCCCTCAGGCCTGGCCTGGCTGCAGACACACCCCGCACCGGGCTGCCCCCCGACCAGGCTGTCCCTGCACTGGGCTGTCCCCGCACCAGGCTGCCCCCCGTGTGGCCTTTCTGGCGTCTCAGATCAGCAGAGGCTGTGGTTAGGGAGCCCTCACTGTCGGGGGGCTTGGGGTGGGGGGCACGTACTCGCCCATGTAGCCCTTGGAGGTGGAGTGGAAGGAGGCGAGCTCCACGTTGCTGGAGAACTCGGGCCCCATCTCCGACAGCACCTTCTTGAAGGAGTGGAACCTGCAGTCGGCGGAGTACACGTTGTCCTGGTACACCTGCGGGACAGGGCGAGCTCGGCTGCTTTCCGGGACCAGCAGCGCGGCCCCCGGAACCTTCCAGAAGCAGAGGACGCGGGCCACACGAACCCCCACC